GCTGGAACTAGAGACGGGAGCTCACTCCGCCATGCGGCACACTCGGGTCTCAAACTGCTGAACTACCGACCTTCCACAGCCTGCAGTTCAGCGACTTAACCACTCGAGCCACCGCAGCTCCTAGTTAACTCAAGATGGTGCTAAAATCCTAAAAGTGCCACTGTCTCACGGGGAAAGAGCAGGGTAGGGTAGGAGTGCCAAGACAGAGCCGTCACTTTCTTCAGCCAAACGCCTGGCAGAACATCTCTGCCTTGCATGCCCTGTGGCCCTATAGTATGTCCCCCAGGGCATGGATGTTGCTCAGCAGAGAGTTTCACCAGGTTGGAGCCAGGGCAGAGAAAGCTCTGGCTCTGGTCAAGGACAGCCGGACGTCACTCAAGCTGGGGACCACCAATAAGTTCTGATCTCCCAAGTGTAACACTCTTCTGGGGGTATACCAGGAGAGGTAGTCCCGAAGGTATGTAAGTCCTTGGCTGTTAAGGGCCTTAAAGGTGAACAGCATAACTTTGAATTTGATCCGGTCAGGGGTCATTTCCTGCAGGAGCACAGAGGAGCAGAGCTCCAGCAGTAAAGAGCCTGGGGGCGAGCACATGCAACAAGCCCCACCCCCACCCCCTGCTCCCAGTAGTCCTTAGTCAGAGCTAGAAGTAGCCAGGTTAATTGCAGAGCCTCTACAGTTTGGTGTAGTGGTTAAGTGCGTGGACTCTAATCTGGGAGAACCGGGTTTGATTCCCCACTCCTCCACTTGCACCTGCTGATGTGACCTTGGGTCAGTCACAAGCTCTGGCACAGCTGTCCTCGAAAAAGAGCAGTTTGTGTCAGAGTTCTCTCAGCCCCACCCACCTCACAGGGTGTCTGTTGTGGGGAGGGGAAGGGAAAGGAGTTTGTAAGCCGCTCTGAGACGCCAAGGGAAGGGCGGGGTATAATTCCAGTCTCTTCTTCTCTTCTTCTTCTTCTTCTGCCCAAAACAGTCCAGTGGCACCTTTAAGACCAGGTTTTATTCAGGTACAAGCTCTCCCTCCTCTGCGAGGACAGATCTGCATGCCCCCCCCCCCCAATAGCTAGCAATCAAAACCAGCCCAGTGGAGCCTGAGTGGTGGGTGTTGCCTTCTGACACACTTCCGGTGATGTCAGGGGGTGTGGCATATGCAAATAAGTTGTGCTAATGAGCTCCTGCACCTCTTTTTCTACAAAATGACCCCTGGATCCGGTACTCCACAGGAAGCCAATGCAGCTCCTGTAGAACAGGATGGATATGCGCTGTGCGCGGTGTCCCTGTGAAGACCTGTGCTGCTGCATTTTGTGCCAGTTGGAGTTTCTGGGTCAGCCTCAAGGGTGGCTAGGTTGGGGCAAGACATGCAGGGGGCCAGTTGCCTAGCTTGGCACAGATGAATACAACACCAGTCTGGCCACGTTTGTCGCCTGGGCCTTCGTTATTAAGGTGGCATCCAGGATCATACCCAGACTCCCGAGGGTGGGTGCCAGCTCCAGGGTCATACCATCAAGGGCTGGGAGTTCGCACCCCACACCGGAATCTCCCTGTCCCAACCGTAGAACCATCTTAGAAGGATTCTGTCTCAACCGGCTCAGTTTTAGCCATCCCACTGTAGCCTCCAGCCCCTCTGCCAGATTTTCTGGGGTGGTATCTGGCTGGCCACCCATCAGCAGATAAAGGTCCACACGGAGGATTTGCTGCACTAAAGGCACGAATATCATGCAGATTTTCGGTGCGCCATCACACCGCAACATTTGGGAAGCGTAGCGCACCTGTGGCCAGCCCGTGGCGTCCCGCAAAAGACACGGAGTAAAAAAGTACCGCGTAAAGTGCACTAATATCTGGAAAACACAGGGCAGGCATCTGATCGCAGGAGCGCTATTATCCTGTGGCATCCAGCACCCGTCCACGTCCCGCCGCAAACTGGATGTTTTTCGTAAACACGTGCGCAAAAACGCGTAACTGAAAGCAGCGCTGCTCCGCGGAACTGCGCATGCGCATGAATGCGAAATGCTTGCTGCGCCACTTCTTTCCCATGCTGCAGCATCGCCGTGTGATCGCCAGCTAACAGCCTAAGTGCGAAGCCTCGGGGGACCGTGTGATCGGGCTACCACGCTTTATTTTGCTCCGGGGCAAACAGCCACGCCTCCCCCCCCCGGCGTTATCTGGCCCGTGTGACCTGGGCCTATGTTTTATACTGCTTGTCCATGATGGTAATAAATAACTGTACTGTAGGCAGTTCTGGTAAGGTTTGGAGGGGGGAGGATTGGTAAGCATCACCCTGGGCTTGTTGAGGGACAGATTAAAAAAAAGATTTTTCTGTCCTGGCATGATATCTAAATCACTGAAGATGCCATTCCTGTCTTTTTTGTGTTTCAGACAAGTGGATATTAATTTTGCAGTTTTCTTCTTACAGACCCAGAGGAGGTGGGTCAGGACTCAGGACCAATGTTCCCTCTAAGCTGTGGTGTCTTGTGAGCAGAAATTCTACTTTGTGAGTTACTGGCATTAAAGCTGTGAGCGAGCGGTTTGGCCACAGCATAAATTAGTTTGCTCTGGAGCCATCCTTCCTGAGCTACTGGCAGGGCTCAGCTTAGAGGGAATACTGCTCTGGAGCCATCCTTCCTGAGCTAAGACAAAAATGTGTGCGCTGGAGGCTAAAAAACTGTGAGCTAGCTCGCATTAACTCACCTTAGAGGGAACATTGGTCAGGACCTGGGACGTCACCAGGAGAATTTGGAAACAGATCCTTTGTCATGTGCCGCTCCTAAGATCGGGAGGATTTGGAAACAGGAGAATTTGGAAACAGATCCTGTGTCATGTACAGCTCATAAGATTGGGAGGATTTGGAAACTGGAGAATTTGGAAACAGATCCTGTGTCATGTACAGCTCTTAAGCTTGGGAGCCTTCCATAAAAAGGAAAAGGGAAAGAAGAAAAAAAAAACAGAACAAGCAATTGCAAGATACGTAGGTGTAACAAGGCAGAGCTGTTAAAGACAACTACAGGTACATACCCTTGGGGTGCCTCACATCCGGAACCCTGTTGAGCCGACCGTATAAAAAGAGAGTGCCTCTTGCGCTCACAGATCTTCTGGACTTTTTCGCTGTTGGTTCCTGCAGGTGATTGGGGTGAGTCTCAGAACAGTATGTCTGATCTGTATCTCTCTCTTCTGTCATCCTTGTGGAAGACGATGTGGCTTTTGGGGAGCAGCCTTTCTGGTTCTGGTTACATTGGCTAGATGTTGTTTCTAGGATAGGCATTGCAATTTCGGGCTGCTGATGGAGAACTGCGATGCGGTCTGGCGACCGCGTGGGATCTTTGTGTTCTATGTTGTTCCAGCCTCTGCGGGCTAGAAAGAACCTTCTTGGAACATCTCTTATACAAATTCTTGGAGGACAGGTCCTTCAGTGAGTAATTACGGTCATGGATTCAGAAAACCCAGGTTCAGTTCCCCATCGACCCATACAGTGTCTTGGGTGACTTTGGGCTGATCCTTTGGGGAGGGGCCGTGGCTCAGTGGTGTAACATCTGCTTGGCATATAGAAGGTCCCAAGTTCGTTCCCTGGCATCTTCAGTTAAAAGGGTCAGGTAATAGTTTGATTAAAATTAACTATCGTATGGCATTGTGTGTAGAATAGCCAGGAGATCCTAAGATTGTCTGGCAGCCGAAAGTTCTAGCTCTTAGTGTTATGCTAGTAGTTAGCTAGACTTGTTTTTAGGGGATGAGAGAGCTCTGAAAGAAGAAGAAAAGAAGAAGAGTTTGGATTTATACCCTACCCTTCACTACCCAAAGGAGTCTCAGAGTGGCTTACAATCCCTTCCCTTTCCCCTCCCCACAACAGACACTAGCGCTGCTCCTGGCTCACTCTTCACTTTTGCCTCGATGGTAGGTGTCAATTTCACACAAGCTGCTGCGTGGTGGCATTTTGCCTCACAGCTTCGTGCGGTTTTCCCCACGTCTACTCAATCCACCTACTATTGAGGCAAAAGGGAAGAGTGAGCCCGGAGCAGCGCTAGTGGGAAATCACCCCCTGTGATGGAGGTGGGGCTGAGAACTGCTCCCAAGAGAACAGCTCTGATAGAACTTATGACTGACCCAAGGTCACACCAGCAGCTGCATGTGGAGGGCTGGGGAATCAAATCTGGATCTCCCAGATTTGAGTCCACACTTCTAACAACTACACCAAATTGGCTTTCAAGAGCTGTGACTGGCCCAAGGTCACCCTCCATGTGGAGGAGTGGGGAATTGAACCCGGTTCTCCAGATTAGAGTCCACCGCTCTTAACCACTACACCAAACTGGCTGGTAATAGGTGACATGAAAGACCTGGAGAGCCAAATACCAGTCTGAGTAGACAATATTGATCCTGATGGCCCGATGGTCTGATTCAGTAGAAGGCAACTTCATGTCTTCATTCTCTCTCAGCCTAACATTACCTCCTAGGGTTGGTATGACGATAACAGGGAAGAGAGGAGAATGATGTAAGCTACCATCAGCTTCTTGGAGGAAGGGTGGGATAAAAAAGGTAATAAAAAGTGAAATCAAGAGCTACAAGCAATGTTACCTCAAAGTACCCTCCAGGTCCAAAATCAGTACAGTTCTGATGCACAAATCTGTGCCCTGGGTAAGGAACACACAGGTGGAGTCCAGGGAGTCGGATGAGTATCTGTTTATTGCAATAATGAGGAAAATACAGGACTGGATACCTTGGCACCCAGTAACACCAAGCTGTATCCCGCCCCAACTAGGAAGGGCAGTATATCTTACACCCCAAATGACATCATGACAGTGTACATAGAAAGAAATCCCTAATTGATGTCCAACAGGTATCATCATTAGAGGATCATCTGAGCTGACATTTCTCTGTTGGCATGCTCCTACATTGATCGTAAGTGCCAGTAATTACATTTTCTTATCTGGTCCCAGAACAGTGGAAAACATTGTGGAAGACAAGGGGCCTTCTTTTGGCATCATTCCTGGCTATATTTGCTTCAGCCCGAAACTAGGGAGTTTCCTGATAAGATATACAAAACACAGCCCTTTGCAGACCTTCTGGGGCCAGAGGCTCTGCTCTACACAGAAAGGTATTTGTTTTGAGAACACTCAGACTCTTTTTCTTTCTCATAGCGTAGCTCCTCAGATGTCCTTCAACTGGATAGCTTACCATTTCAAATATACACTCCAGTCCATTATTTTCTGACTCTAAGAAAAAGACCTTTAACCATTAAAATAATACCCTAATTAATTCTACTCTACAAGTGGCTCAAGTGGTTAAGACACTGAACTGCAGGCTGTGGAAGGTCGGTAGTTCAGCAGTTCGAGACCCGAGTGTGCCGCATGACGGAGTGAGCTCCCGTCTCTAGTTCCAGCTCCTGCCAACCTAGCAGTTCGAAAGCAAGACATTGCAAGTAGATAAATAGGTACCACTTCGGTGGGAAGGTAACAGCGTTCCGTGTGCCTCGGTGTTTAGTCATGCCGGCCACATGACCACAGAAACATCTTCAGACAGCGCTGGCTCTTCGGCTTTGAAATGGAGATGAGCAACGCAACCCTAGAGTCGGACTCGACTGGCTTTTGAGGAAGGGAACCTTTACCTTTACCTTTACAACTCTTCTGCCTGGGCCAAATATTAAAATCCAAATTCACTTTTAATCAGACGCCTAACAAAGCACAGTGACAGCTGTCGTTTTACCTGTCAAGAGAAATATCAGGAATCACATCTATCAGTCACAGTCACTGGTCTTTCGTCCTGCAGTTCTGAATACCAGATCCCATCACATAAACAATGGAAGGAAGTTTCCACTTTAATTCTGTCTTTGGAAGCATCCCAGGAGAACCTGGGTAGCCCACTGCGGGAAAGATGATGCCGGACTAGATGGACCTCTTGGTCTGATTCAGCGGGTTTCTTCTTGTGGATCAGAAAACAAAGTAGTGGTTAGGAGTGCAGACTCTAATCCGGGAGAATCGGGTTTGATTCCCCACTCCGCCACATGCAGCTGCTGGCATGACCTTGGGTCAGTCACATGTTCTTTCAGAGCTGTTCTCTCAGGAGCAGTTTCTGTCAGAGCTCTCTCAGCCCCACCGACCTCACAGGGTGTCTGTTGTGGGGAGGGGAAGGGAAAGGAGATTGTAAGCTGCTCTGAGACTCCTTTGGGTAGTGAAGGGAGGGGTGTGAATCCAATCTCTTCCTCCTCCTCCTCCCATCCCCCTTCAGATCCAAAGTCTATATAATTTTTAGCCTCACCTGCTTGTGACGATCACCATCGTTTGCATTGGAAAGGCTAGGCCAAAGCCTATGCACAAGTTAGAGTTAGAATCATAGAATCATAGAGTTGGGAGGTGTCACCAGGGTCATCTAGTCCAACCCCCTGCACAATGCAGGGAATTCACAAATACCTCCCCCCCACTCCCCCAGTGATCCCTGTTTCATGCCCAGAAGATGACCAACCCCCCCACCCCCGGCCAGGATTCACAGACAAACTGTTCTGGAGAACAATGTCTTCCTGACCCCAACATGGCGACCAGCATTTCCCTGGATGTGTAAGAAAGGGCCACGAGGACTAAGCCCTGAGGCAACCCTTCCTGCCCTCCCTCTCACAATCTGCCTAAGTTCACAGAATCAGCATTGCTGTCAGATGGCCATCTAGCCTCTGCTTCAAAACGTCCAAAGAAAGACAGCCCATCACCTCCCAAGGAATCCTTTTCCACTGAGGAACTCTGTCAGGAAGTTCTTCCTATTGTTTAATCAGAAACTCTTCTGTTTTAATTTCAACCCATTGGTTCTGGTCTGACCTTCTGGGGCAGTTGCCATTTGCCAGTTATGGGTTGGAAAATTCCTACGGATTTGGAGGTGGAACCTATGGAGGGTGGGGCTTGGGAAGGGGAGGGGCATCAACAGGGTACGATGCCATACTGTGCACCTCCAACACTTCCATTTACTCCAGGGAAACTGATCTCTGTAGTCTGGAAATCAGATGTAACTCCAGGAGATCTCTAGGCCCCACCTGGTGGTTAGTACAAAAACTGAGGGTCACAGTGTTAGGAAGCTATGGGGAAATTATATGATATAATAGATGTATGCCTAAGGTAGATCTATTTTGTGCTGCCTTGAGAGATATGTTCTCCTAAATAAGTTATTATGTTTGCTGCAAGGGTTCCAATGTTTGCTGCAAGGGTTTTAAGAGTATTGTTCTCACAAGGAGAATTTATTGTGCCTCATGTCTTGTACCTACATCACTGTCCTTGAAAAAAGATTGTATTCAAGGACAGGTAATTTGCTAGAGCCCCCTGGGACTAGTGATTGTGAAACTGACAATGTGCTGTCTGAATGAACGAAGTGTAAAACTGCACTTGATGCATTGTCTTGTATGCTTGGTAATACTCGACACCAATATTTATAAGATAATATGGAAAAATTGATAAAAATAAAAAGCACAAAATAGATCTACCTTTATACACAGTGTCATATAATTTTCCCATACCCTAGCTCAACCCTAGCTCAAGAAAAAATTCTGATGTATTTGTTTAAATTTGCTATTTTTATAATTATTATTTTTTTTGTAATACTGCACAGGTTTATGATGCACAGAGCTTCCCTCATGCCATAACTTTTGTCTAAAAACTGCTTCCTCTTGGTTAGTCACTCTTTCTCCATTGACTCCAGTCCTTCCTGTCTAGATTCCAAAATGGCTGGAATTCCATGAGATAGGGTTAGGTGACCTGCCTACACTACGGATGAAACAGGAAGTGATGCCATGCCATTCTAGGAATGTCAAAAATCTCAATGTGTTTATAATATCTGTGTCAAAACCCATAAACATGTCACCCTTTTCTGTTTCAGAGTGACATCATGATTTGGGTCTCTATTTCCAAACAAATGGATAAACAAATTGCCATGGGTGGATTCCCTGGGGTTACATCAGATAACAAATATAATGAAATGGATCATAGCTTTTGAAATGAAAATGAAAAATAGCACATGCCTTATATGCAATGATCCCTCTAAGCTGCAGAGTCTTGTGAGCAAAAATTCTACTTTGTGAGCCACTGGCATTAAAGCTGTGAGCGAGCGATTTGGCTACTACATGAATTAGTTTGCTCTGGAGCCCTCCTGCCTGAGCGAAGGCAAAAATGTGTGAGCTAGAGGCTAAAAAACAGAGAGCTAGCTCACACCAACTCAGCTTAGAGGGAACACTGCTTGTATGTAGGGTTCATCATCCAATGACATTCACTACACTCTTGTATAATAATTCAATAATAGAAGACAAAAACAAGGGCAGTAAACAGACTCACTACTTACAAATTGCCAAAATGCTAAAGACAATGTAATAGAAAGTAGCAAATACAAAGTTGGCACATAAGAAAAATACAAAATGGAAGCAGTGAAGAACTTGTGTAATAATACACTACGATAGAAAAATCCACAGAATAATGGAGAACTAATACACTAATACGACGTTGTGTCCGGATGTTTGATTACAGCATTTCAAAGTTCATCCTTCATCAGGGTGTTCTACAATGAAATACACAAGTTATTAAGAAAATACACAACTTATTAAGAGAAGGAGAGCCATACAATAAACATGCAAGGTCTGTGTACAAATCAAACCAACAGCTTACCCCTTTAAGTTGCTGTGTTTTCTATACTTTTACTCACATGCCGTGGGAACAATCTGTGTTGACACAAAAGCAACAAATCATACACAGTTCCTATAAATAGGTATAACATTGCTAAAAACATTTCTTGCAGCTACTCATGACAATTCAATATAGGAACGGATGCAAGTCTCCAATGTGTAAATGGCTTCAGCCATTCTAGGAATCCCATGCCATTCTAGGAATTTCTGAAATCTCAATGCGTTTAAAATATCTATGACAAAACCCATAAACATGCCATCATGTTCTGTTTCAGAGTGACATCATGATTTGGGGAACTCCAAGGTCTCTATCTCCAAACAAATGGATAATCAAGTAGTCATGGCTACATTAACTGGGGTTACACCACATAACAAATATAAAGAAATGGATCGTAGCTTTTGAAATGAAAATGAAAAATAGCTCACGCCTCGTACGTAGGGTTGCCGGGTAACCATAGAGGTTTTTTTCTCAAATGCTAGAGCGTCCCCCTTGAAACATACCCTGCGCGATGATGTCACCTCCGGGTGACTTCATTGTGCCAGGCACGTTGGTGCGGATGGGGCTCCTTGGGGGCGGGGCTCCCCTTCTGGCCAGCTGAAGCACCCCAAAAGTGGGTAAACCCTGCCCCCATCGGGGAAATGGCAACCCTACTTGCATATATGGCACTGGTTGTTTCTGGATAGCGAGAACCTGGGGGCTCTTCTTGGATGTGAAGGTCAATCCTCTCTCGCTTATTCTTGCAGATTTGCCTGGAGCTCAGCGAAAGATGGCGTGCCCATTCCAGCAGTGCAAGCAGCCCTGCCTCCCGCCTCCCATCTGTGGGTGCACTAAACAAAGTGCCCCTGTGGGCCCACTTCCGTGTCCAGAACCCTGCATCCCGGTCTCTGTCAAGCAAAGTCCCACGACTGTTTGCCCGGAGCCCTGTGTCAAAGTGGATCCATGTGCTCCTCAGTGCCCGGAGGAGTGTGCTCCCAAGTCCGTGCAGCCGTGTGCCCCTACCGTCTGCGAGCAGCAATGTCCTCCTCAGAGCGCAAAGGTGTGCTCTCCCAAGTCTGTGGTGCCGTGCCCCCCTCCTGTCTGTGAGCAGCCATGTCCTCCTCAGGGCGTAGAGGTGTGCCCTCCCAAGTCTGTGGTGCCGTGTGCCCCTCCTGTCTGCGAGCAGCCGTGTCCTCCTCAGTGCGAACAAGTACGCGCCTCCAAGTCTGTCCCATGTCCTCCTCCGGTCTGCAAAGAGCCGTGCCCTCCTCAGGGCATAGATGTGTGTCCTCCCAAGTCTGTGGTGCCGTGTCCCCCTCCTGTCTGCGAGCAGCCGTGTCCTCCTCAGGGCGTAGAGGTGTGCCCACCCAAGTCTGTGGTGCCGTGTCCCCCTCCTGTCTGCGAGCAGCCATGTCCTCCTCAGTGCGAACAAGTACGCGCTTCCAAGTCTGTCCCGTGTCCCCCTCCGGTCTGTGAGCAGCCGTGTCCTCCTCAGGGCGTAGAGGTGTGCCCACCCAAGTCTGTGGTGCCATGCCCCCCTCCTGTCTGCGAGCAGCCGTGTCCTCCTCCGTGCGAACAAGTATGTGCTCCCAAGTCAGTCCCGTGTCCCCCTCCGGTCTGCAAGGAGCCGTGTCCTCCTCAGGGCATAGACGTGTGCCCTCCCAAGTCTGTGGTGCCGTGTCCCCCTCCTGTCTGCGAGCAGCCGTGTCCTCCGAAGTGTGAAGTGGTGTGTCCTCCCCAGGACATCGCTCAGTGTAAACTGAGCCAGTGTAAATGCCCCCCACAAATCCCTCCTCAGTGCGCCCCAAAATCTTCCAAGTAAATACCTGCGGATCCATGCTGCTCGGCACCACCCCCTCCCAGGGCCAACGCCACGGAAAGCTCAACGCTACAGAACCTTGAAACGACATCTAGATTCGCGCTGTATATTTTTAAGCCTTTCGCCGACCTTCCGGGGAATATTTCGCCGAGGGGGTTCCAGCGATTCGTTCCTCGCACTTCATCCTCTGCCTGCTGAATTTAAACACCTGCGCTCTTGAAGTATTTCACTTGCAGATTGTTCCTGCATGCGTTCGGTGAAAAAAATATATATATACACATATATGTGCATATTTATGTACCATGTTTTCCCAGTGTTATCCTCTTCTCATCTTACGCAGCCAGCCTGCCATAAATGAAAGTTACACCTTGTAGCGTTTCCTTGTTTTAAGAATTCTTTCGCCTCGTCCTTTCTGGCAGATTCAGATAGAACGGATAAAAGGATAAAACAAAGTACTTTGTCACCCAAAGAGTGATTAACACTTGGAATTCACTGCCACAGGAAGTGGTGGCGGCTACAAGCATGGGCGGCTTCAAGAGGGAATTAGATAAGCATATGGAGCAGAGGTCCATCAGTGGCTATGAGCCACAAGGTATAGATAGGGACTCTGGGGCAAGTGATGCTCTGTCATCTTGGTGCTTGGGGGGGGGGCAACAGTGGGAGGGCTTCTAATGTCCTGGCCCCACTTGTGGACCTCCTGATGGCCCCTGGTATTTCTGGCCACTGTGTGACACAGAGTGTTGGACTGGATGGGCCTTTGGCCTGACCCAACATTGGCATCTCTTATGTTCTTATGTTCTTAAAGTATTTCATGGGATGCACAATTCTCATCTGGAATTCTTGGTTTTGGTAATCGGGACTGGTTCGGGGGGGGGGAACCTGGGCAAGATGACATCGAGGAGTCCGACAACGAGGAGGGGGCAAGTGGGTTCGCTGCCCCCTGCTGCCCCTGCTGCCCAGTAGGGGGAGTTACCGGCAGCATGGGGGTGCCTAGCCTGGTATGGCATTGATGCTGGCGACAACGTGGTGACATCACTACCAGCATGCACCAGGAGTGAAATCATCCTGTCACCAGCGACATGGGACACTCTGGTATTTGGGCAAAAACTCTATGGTGAATATGGCTTCTGCCATACAGTTTTTGCCCAAATATCAGAGCGTCCTGTGTCACTGAGGACACAACGATATCGCCGTGCCCCCAGCGATATCACAGCAAAGCTGGGCTCGGCCTTTCCCCACTCTCAGTAAATCCCACCCATCCACCCCATTGCCAGAGGTGACCTGGCTACCGTACTCATCAGTAATGGGTAATTCTCATGTTATACTCAGTGTATGCACAGCTGAAGATGTGATACTACAAATTCAACCAGGTTCTGGTTTCAGTCTCAAAGGGAACATGCACTGGCTCTTTCTTTCAAAAAAGGTCCATCTCCTGTGCCAAGCAGGCTGGCTCTAACATCAGAAGCAGAAAATAAGTGGGAACTAGTTGTTTGCTGTTTGACTAGGCCCTTAAACAAGGCCCAGCCGGGCTTTCTTTAATGTGCCACGAGACACAAAGTGTGCCGTCCCAAAAGAACATTTGTGCGGTTCCAAAATCCAACTTAGGCAGCCGTTGTGTTAGGTCTGCTGGTGTAAACAGCGACCGACGAGAATGCAAAAAGCAAAACCACCCAGGTGCCTCTAGAATGGTTTAGAACAGGAGTCCTCAACAAGGGGCCTGCCAAGTGGGTGGGGCCGGGTGAGGTTCTTGCCCAGCAGGGCTTCTGATTGGCTAGCGGAGATCCAACTGGATGTGTAGATTGAAAGAACCTGAACATAAGAACATGAGAGAGAAGCCAATGTTGGATCAGGCCAGTGGCCCATCCAGTCCAACACTCTGGGTGCGTTCAGACGGGGCGCTTCTGCTGGCATAAACTGCACCGGTTGGAACCGGTGCAGTTTATGCCGGCAGAAACGTGATCACACTTACCCTCCATTTTGTGGATCCCTCTGGTGGACGCCCGCTCACGCAGGATGCACATGTGTTCAGTGGGACATGAGGTCAAGGCTTAAGGGTACCACCAAGTCCTCATTTATCTCTGTTCGTTCTGCCTTTCCCCCATACTCGCCATCCTCCTCTGAGATGAGTGCTGGCGGAGCTTCCTGCTCTGTTCCCTCCCTTGTCTCTCAGACCAGGGAAAGGGAGATACAGATGAACACATGAAGTTGCCTTATCCTGAATTACACCATTGGTTCATCAAGGTCAATATTGTCTACTCATATCAGTAGCCGCTCTCCAGGATCTCATGTTAGAGGCCTTTCATATCACCTACTTGCCTAGTCCTTTTAACTGGAGATGCCAGAAATTGAACCTATTCTCTATTAAGCATCTGAGCATTATCTATTAGACACCTATTATCTATTAAACTTCTCAGCATTATCTGTTATCTATTAAACAAATGTTATCTATTAAACACCTGAGCAGACTCAAGGATTATTACTTCGGCATCTTCATGTTGCTTATTAAATTGGTGTAATCTTAGGTACAAAAACTCAAAGGCACAGATATAGAAGGGGAGGGACTTGACTTGACAGCAGCACATGTGAAAGGGATCTGGGTGTTCTGGTTGATCACAAGCGAAACATGAGCCTGCAGTGTGATGTGGCTGTGAAGAAAGCAAATGCAATCTTTGAATGCATTAACAGAAGCATTGTGTCCAGATCACGGGAGGTGGTAGTTCCGCTCTAGTCTGCTATGGTCAGGCCTCACCTGGAGTCCTGTGTCCAGTTTTGGGCACCACATTTTAGGAAGGATGTTGACAAGCTCAAGCGTGTCCAGAAGAGGGCAACCAGGATGGTGAGAGGGTTGGAATCCATGTCTTATGAGGAAAGGCTGAAAGAGTTGGGTCTGTTTAACCTGGGAAAGAGAAGGCTTAGAGGGGACAGGATTGCAGTCTTCAAGTATTTGAAGGGCTGTCATGTAGAAGATGGAGCAGATCTATTCTCTCTTGCTCCGGATTGCAAGACTAGATCTAATGGGTGGAAATTACAAGGGAGTCGATACCGGCTAAATATCAGGAGAACTTCCTAACTGTAAGAGTGGTGGAGCAGTGGGACAGACTGCCTTAGGGGGTGGTGGATGCTCCACCTGGACGTTTTCAAGCGGAGGCTGGACAACCATTTTTCGGGTATGTTGTAGGTATGTAGGGCTATCTTTTGGCTGTGCTCCTGCAGAGTGCAGGGGGTTGGACTCGGTGACCTGCAAGGTCGCTTCCAACTCTAACATTGGTGGGATAGAAATCGCATAAACAAACAAACAAACAAACCTGGAACCTTCTGCATGCCAATTGGATGGTCTACCATTAGGTAGGGGCGGAACATGAACGGAAATGGCCCAGGATCAAGCTAGGTGGACTGGCCCCAGCAACACTGGCAGACGTACTCGGGCTTGGCTTTGTGTGATCCTGATTACCCACAGCCCTCCATAAGCAGTGGCCCATTTGGAAAATTCCCTCTACCCTGACTCCATCCCTGTTCCCAGCTGGTTTGGGCTATTTAGCTTATGCCTGGTCTATCTGTGTGTAGACCATCAAAGCATTCACAAATTTCACAAGTTATCATTAGACAATAGTCTAGAATAGAATTAGTGGTCACAATTCCAAACCACTAGTAACAATTCAAAGAATAGAAGACAAAATCTAATATAACAATTCAGTAGTGAAGAAAGAATCCAACAGACGACTCCTCTAATATCCTTTCAGTATAATAGTGTCCTGAAGACCTCAAAGTCCACAAAAAAGGCAGAGGATGTCCTAGGTATGCCAGATGTTTCAAAGCATTCTTCCTCAGTTGTACGGCTGAAACGTGGAACCTGATTTCCGCAATAATCTAGGTACAGGTCATGTCTCAAATGGAATCTGTGGTTCTCCATTTGAGATCCCATTTGAGACATGAGCTGTGCCTAGATTATTGTGGGAATCAGGTTCCACTTCTCAGCTGTACAACTGAAGAAGAATGCTTTGAAACATCTGGCATACCTAGGAAGGACGTTTTCGGCTGCAGATTTATCTTTGGGACATCCTCTGCGTTTTTTGTGGACTGTGAGGTCTTTAGGACACTATTATACTGAAAGGATATTAGAGGAGTCGCCCGTTGGATGCTTTCTTCACTATTAAATTGTGATTGGATTTATACCCCACCCTTCACTACCCAAGGGAGTCTCACAGCGGAATCAAACCTGGTTCTCCAGATTAAAGTCTACGCTCCTAACCACTACGCCAAGAAGAGGAAGAAGAAGAAGAGGAAGAAGAAGAAGAAGAAGAAGAAGAGATTGGATTTATACCCTGCCCTTCACTACCCAAGGGAGTCTCAGAGCAGCTTACAAACTCCTTCCCCTTCCCCTCCCCACAACAGACACCCTGTGAGGTAGGTAGGGCTGAGAGAGCTCTTGACAGAAACTGCTCTTTTTCAAGAACAGCTCTTATCAGAACTACTGCTTGCCCAAGGTTATCCAGCCAGGTGCAAGTGGAGGAGTGGGGAATCAAACCCGGTTCTCCCAGATTAGAGTCCGCGCACTTAACCACTACACCAAACTGGCGCTCTACCATGAGAGATTATCCATGGCCTACCGTGTAAACTTTTAGCATTTGCACGTCACATGAGAAAGCAACACCTGGCTCTGACCACTGAGGAGAGCCCTAAGAGGTCCAAACATGTATGGTCTACTGGTCATAAGCAATGCTCCCTCTAAGCTGTGGAGTCTTGTGAGCAAAAATGCTACTTTGTGAGTTTAAAGTTGTGAGCGAGCAATTTGGCTGCTCGATAAATTAGTTTGCTCTGGAGCCTTCCTTACTGAGCTAAGGCAAAAATGTGTGAGCCGGCTAAAAAATTGTGAGCTAGCTCACACTAAATCAGCTGAGAGGGAACACTGGTCATAAGATATACCCATCAATTGTATATGTAAAACTTTCAGCTCTGTGTGTAAAACGTTTTAAGAGTCTGATATATGGATAATTTCTTTTAACTTATTTTATTTGTTACTGATATTTTTGTCATCTTCTGGGCGTGGAACGGGGGTCACTGCAGGTGTGTGTGGGGGGGAGGTATTTGTGAATTTCCTGCATTGTGCAGTGGGTTGAACTAGATGACCTTGGAGGTCCCTTCCAACTCTATTATTCTATGAATCCCCTTGTCTGACACTCAAACCACTGTACCACACTGGCTCTAAGACGAAAGGCACAGCCATAACTGAGGCAACTCAATTCTGGTTAAGTCTCTGTGAGGAGTTATCTGAACATGGCGGGAGTTCAAGAGGGAACCACTAGATGGCGGACATGAGCAATTGATGTGACATGGAGGGGTTGTATGAAAACGCAGCACCATCTCCTGGAC